GACATGTTTCAATTCATGTTGTTAACACATAATATAAGCTTTTAACTAATAATTATTTTAACAAAAATTGTCGAATAGAATATGAAAAATGCGACACCATTTTTTTTTATATTTTCATTTTATTTATAGCAACATCTAGACTAAACATTTTCAACAATAAAAAACATTTTCAATAATAATTGTTTTCAGGAATTTTATTTAAAAAGAAATCAATTTAACAAGAGAACTTAGCCTTAAAATTCACTTATTCAAATAATTTTGTGATTGAAATTTGAAATTTAAAAAAAAATTTTAAATTTAAAAAAAATTTAGATAAAACAAGGGATAAAAGAAGAAAGTTTTTTTTCTTAAATCGTACATTTTTTTAATGTTTTGAATTATATATTTTTTCTTGAAAATAGTTTTAAAAGTAGAAACATTCTATTGTAAACATCAAAGCAGTGATAGCAAATTGCAAGTTAAAATAAAAATTATAAAAATTTTAAATTAAATTTAATAAATTATTTTACTTCTGTTCGAAAAAATTTTTTTCTAAAAAAATAATTTAAGCATATTCTTATACTTAATATAATTCGATTTATTAAACAAAATCTTTTGTTTCTCTTTTTTTTTTGGAAAACAATGTTTTTATGATCTTACTCATTTTGTCCATATTTATAAACTCGTATAGGTTTATTTTATAGGTCAATTTTATTTATTTGCTTCCTTTTATTTTAAGCGCGTTTTATTTTATAAATTGTATAAATCAACACAAAACAGCATCACAAACTTATTTTACATTAACCCAAGCTCTTTATATTTTTAAAACAACTTTGCAGTTTGTTTTAATGTTGTTTTATAGCTTTTGACAATTAAATACTTTTTAAAATTAACACGTGTTTTAACGTCAGCACGAATGTATTAAATAGTTTCCTTTGACTAATTAAAGTGGTTTAGATATTGCAATGTTGCTTTTTCTCTTACTTTTTTACTTTTACTTTTTTAAGTATAATGATACTTATATATACTTATATATTTCTTTAAGTATATATTTTACTTAAGTAAAATATATACTTAAAGAAATATCTGAATAGTATTAAAAACGTTATTGCTTATTACAACTGCATCTAAAACTTTAAGTTATAACTTAAGTTGTAAATAGTAACAGTAACTTACACTATTTTAAACTCTACCGAACAAGATAATTATAAGATTATATTTAAATATGAGAGATAATATATTAAAAGTAGAACAATTATGTACAAAAGTTACAATTATATACTAACGCAACTTCCCTCCCTCCCCTCATTACATTGGGGGGAAGGGGGGGAGGGGGATAAAATTTTTTTTTTTCGCAATAATATTTTTTTGCGTTAATTCGAGCCCTGTATATATATATATATATATGTATATATATATATATATATATATATATATATATATATATATATATATATATATATATTATATATATATATATATATATATATATATATATATATATATATATATATATATATATATATATATATATATATATATATATATATATATATATTAGGGTATGACACCTATATTCTAAAAAAGATCATATTCATAAAAACTTCTATTGATTCTCACAAGCAACTTTATCAAATTTTTTCAAATTTTTATTGGATTTAGAGGGCTCACCAGACCCTTGAGCACTTACCAGGTCCCTAATTTTAAAATTAGTTCTTTAAACCAATATAAATATCCTTTTTTTAAATAATTATCAAAAAAATACACATTTTTCATTTTTAGATTAAAAAAGGTCACTTTTTTTCAAAAAACTCTAAAATAATAATTTTTTTATAAAATGATTGGTATTTTTAAAATTTGTATACAATTTCCTTTCTTTTGAGACCCCACATAACATAATTTTGAATAACTTTTTTTTATATAATATTAGGGACCTGGTAGGTGTTCAATGGTCTGGTGCTCTCCCTAAATCCCATAAAAATTTGAAAAAATTTAATTAAATTGCTTGTGAGAACCAACAGAAGGTTTTAAGAATATAAACAGATCTTTTTTAGAATATAGGGGGTGGATGTCACACCCTGATATATATATATATATATATATATATATATATATATATATATATATATATATATATATATATATATATATATATATATATATATATATATATATATATATATATATATATATATATATAATAGGGTGTTGACGTTTTGGTAAATTTTTGGTATCTCCAGTTTCCTGTATAAAAAACAGATGAACTTTGGTTTAAAAGTAACTGAAAAGTCATTGGTTTTATTTAATTTTTAAAAAAAGTCACCCACCATGACCCTTGATGACAAACTGGCTCTCATATATTATTTTTCTTCAAAGTATATCAACCTGAGTCTCAAAAGAACCAGTATATAGTGATTTCAAAATTGATATTTTTATAGTGATATTCAAAATTTATTTTTATTTAAAACCATTATTATTTCTGAAATCTTTATGAAATTCTGTTTTTTATACAGGAAACTGGAGATACCAAAAATTTTCCAAAAAGTCAACACCCTAACACCCTAAACCCTAAAACTGATTTTGATGAACTTTTTTAATTGAACTTTATTTTTTATTGTTATTTTTTTAATAACTATTTTTTTTGTTACTGATTTCTTGATTTGGAAGGTATTTTTAATAAATTGATTTACTTTTTTATTTCTTATTCACTTTTAACATCAGTTTTAAACAACAGCATCATTTTTAAAACATAACATATTTAAAACCATTAAAGAGTAGTCATGGTAACTATAAAGCTTATTTAGGCACTTACATGGTTACTATAGGCTCAACTACAGTAGTTCCATTTGCTCAGGGGAGACAAAGTTATATATAAATAAAAAAAGTAATCAAACCAGATTAATTTATCAATAAGAAAATTTCTTGTGGAATCGCACTGTATTTAAGTTATACTGCAATCGTATTGTAGTATCACTTAAAAAATATTTTATAGATATTGTGTTTTACATGATAATTCATTAAGGAAAGTAAAGTTAACTTAAAGTTATTTAAAAAAAATTTAGCCAATAAATTTATCTTGTTTGACCATAACAATTTTATTACTGTTAACCACCACTATTCTCATATTCTTGATCACAACTTATTTCAAGTGTTGTTGAACATTACTTATTTCAAGTACCATCCTATAAACCTATTCTATAAATTAACCAGTCTAGACAAATTTTATTAAATCAGTACTATTTATAACTTTCTAATATCTTAATAGAAATATTAATTTTTATTTTCTAATATCTTAATAAAAATCTTACAGGCGCACTCAAGATAACAGTAGGGCTGAAATTCACAAAATGCATCTGAAGGATCTCCTGGGATACTGCAATAACCAGAGTATCTTCCTTTTCCACATGTTACAAAAGTAAATTTATCACATTTTGAACCAGAAATATTAAATGTAGATATGGTATAACTTAAAGGTGCATTGTATCCTATAAATTAAAATTAACAGTTTAAAATTCAAATTTAAGAACAACATTAATTGAACTATTATTACCATATAATTATTATATTTTTATTGTCATACTGTATATTACTATATAAATTTAAAAAAAAATAATATAAATTTAATAAAAATCAAACAAATCCTTATTAGCATTGATTCCTAATTAATGTTAACACCAACCACCCTAATTTTACTAACAACCACCCTAATGTTAACACCAACCACCCTAAACCAAGTAAATTGCCAAGCTAACTCTACATATTTAAAAATTTTGTATTTAATATTAACTTTGTCATAAGCTTTAGAAAACCTATTATATCACAACTTATCTTTTCACTGAAACAACAACAACAACAAGATATTTATTATCCTTTTCAAAATTTACATATAACCATATAATAACAATAATAATAATAATATCTATAATAATACAAACAATATATTTATAATAAAATATAACTAATAAGAATAAATATAAATAATTATTTGAAAAGGAAGGTGTCACTTAAACAGAAGCCTGATCAAAGGAGTGACACCAAATAATTATGACAATAATAATTAAAAAATGATAATATTATCTATAATGATACAAACAATATAGTAATAATAAAATATAACTAATAAGAATAAATATAAATAATTATTTGAAAATAAGGTGTCACTCAAACAGAAGCCTGATCAAAGGAGTGACACCAAATAATTATAACAATAATAATTAAAAATAATAATATTATCTATAATAATACAAATAATATGATGACATGAGTGTCACTCATGATCAAAATGAGTGGCACCAATTAATTATAACAAGTAGTATAATAATAAAATAATAATAAAAATAACAAATATGAACTGGAAATCGCTAAGAAAATAAATAAAATAATAATAACAACAATAAAGCTAAAATAAATTAAATAATGACAAAAAATATGAAAACACTCAACAACAACAGCAAACAAAAATAAAAATAGCAAAACAGAACAAATAAAAAACAAACCTTACACAAACGAAAAGGCAAAATACAAAAACAACAAGATAAACCCAAAAAATACAAAACGAAAAGGCAAACACAAATACTTCTACAAAATAAAATTAAATTAAATCCGTTACAAATTTAAATATTACAAATTAAATTGTTAAAAAATAAATATACAACCAATCTTCATATTCTTCGTTTGTAAATTTCTTTATTTTTCCTTTTTTTGTTTCTTTTTTTTTTTTTTTTTTTTTTTTTATGTTATTTTATTGTTTACTTAGAAGTTCTTTTTTTTTTTTAGTTCGAAATTCTGATTATCTTTCTGTAAATTTTTTCTCTTGTGTATAAATTTATAACTATATCACATATATACCGATTTTTGTTTAAACAAATGTTATAGTATAGAGTTTAATTTGAAATGGTTATAATGTTTTATTATTGTATATTTGCATAAGTTATTTATGTTTAAAACTAGCATTAAAAATATTTTTTTCAATTCCAATTCTTCCTAAAACTAAAGTCCGCATGCATGGTCTTGATTGATAT